GTGCCTCTCCAGTCTTCCTCCAGACGCCAGACCTTGATTTCCAAATGAAAGGCAATATCTGAAAAGAGGACTTTGGAGCACTGAGCAACAGTCCAGTTCTTTTACTCCTTAGCCAAGGTAAGATGCTTCTGACATTGTTTCTGTTTCAGAAGTGGCTTGGTAGCCCTTTTCCTGAAAATATCTGAATGTCGTGACTCTTGATGCACTGACTCCAGCTTCAGTCCCCTCCCAAGTGTTTGAATCGGCTTTGCTTGACAGTATTCTCAAGCTTGCGGTCATCCCTGTTGCTTGTGCACCTTTTCCTACACAATTTCTTCCTTCCAGTCAACTTTGCATTTAATATGCTTTGATACAGCACTCTATGAACAGCTACCCCTTTCAGTAATGACCTTCTGTGACTTACCCTCTTTGTGGAGGGTGTCAATGATTGTCTTCTGGACTATTGCCAAGTCAGCAGTCTTCCCCATTATTGTGGTTTCAAAGAACAAGAGATACCAGAATTTACTGTAGGGATGGCAATTTAATGAAACTCAAATGTAAATATTCCTTTTTTTTTTTTTTTACAATATATTATATACAAGTATTTACAGATGGTTCAAAAGACTGAGCATCAGACAACTGGGGCTGCTTTTTTAGTTCCAGAAAAGAAAATTATTAGAGTAAAGCAAACATCAAATAATTTGGGAGTCTATAAAAGTAGAAATGATGGCGATACTCCAGGCATTGAAGTGAGGAATATAAACCTGGAAATATTTAATCTGTTCTGACTCTGAATCAGTTCTAAAGAGCTTAAGATCTTTCAAATCTACCAAGATATTCTCTTTAGAATATTGCAAGTAGGCCTACAAGTCAAAATAAGATTTCAGTGAATAAGTTCCAGCACATACAGTATATATTAGGGTGACCATACGTGCCATTTTTCCCGGACGCATCCTGGCCAGGATTTCTATATTGCCTAAAATATCTAGGGTTTGGCTTTGTTTGCGTGTGCAGACCGATCGGTGTATGACATCGGTTCCTTATGTTTTCGAAACGCTCTCGAGGTACTTTGACACAGTGTCTCCACGACATGGCGGCAGCGGCAACAGTACTACATTGAGAATAAAAGTTACACCTTCTTTCTTTGCGTGAACATTTGGGCGGCGTTATGCAAATCTTCCCACATAGTGAGGTAGATATGTGGGGGGGTGTTAGAACGAGCCGTTTTAGGTAAGTGTGGCTGACTCTTAACTTTTATAAAGAATATCTCTTTGGATTTGAGACTTTAGTCTTTGCAAATTTACAGATCTTCTTTATGCACCAAGAGCTTGTAACACTCCAAAGCGAAAGGAAAAAATTTAATCGCATCATATGACCCCTTTAAGTAAATCAGAAATCAAGGTATTAATCGGAAATAAAGCAATAGAAGAATGGCAAGTAAAACGGGACAATGAAAAAAGGGGTAGATTTCTTTACAGTTTAATTAAGGTCAATCAAAAAGTAAGATATAGGCCTAGGCTAGGCTATAGGTAAACCAAAGAAATAAGAGTTTATTTACAACTGAATAAGTTTAGGGCATTCTATTTTAACCACACTCTCAAAATAGTAGGAAAACACCCAGATGGTTTATGTGAAAAATGTCAGGTTGAGGAGACTGTAAATAATTATTGAATGTAGTAGCCTAAATACGAAGAGGAAAAGAAGCATGATAGAAGAAATAAGCAAAGTTCAGGAATTAAATATTAAGGCTGTAATAAAATGGTCTAGTGAGACAAATAGTAAAGCTTTCTTCGATTTTATTAGAGAAAAAAGGCTGATGAATAGATTTTAAACTGTAACACACTCCGGACCAGAAGTCGGCGCCACCTTTAAAAAAACCAAGAAGTAGGCCTAGTACTCCATACTACTTCACATAAACCAATCAATTTAGTTTTATTAGTTTCATACATATTATATCCATATACAATATTTAGTTCTAATGGCACAACTAATCTAAAACTTTACGGGGTTTTAAATTGTTCTTTGATTCTTTTGTAATGCGAGTATGGTGAGGTGTAGGCCTACTAAAAATAAACATCTTCACGTGTCTCCTCCAAATGAACACACACTAGGCCTAATATGTTTAGAAAGAAATGAATCTATTCATCAGGTCTAGGCAAGACACCGAGTTTGCTACTTCTTCTCAACTGTTTCCTGGGTTTAAGAGGGCAATTACTCCGAGTCGACCCCTGTCGTTTCAAAGAATAGTACAACGACTAGCGCGACGAGGTAACTAGGCTAATATCAGTTAGATATTTGAATGCATTTTTATGTAGTACTATTATTATACTATTATATAATATTACATTTAACAGTAGGCTAGTAGGCTAAAGAAGCAAGATCGGTTAGATATTTTCTTTAAAATGTTATCATCAATGACAGTACAACTAATGAATCGATCAGTTAGATATTTTAATGTATTATTACACAATATTATTTTAAATAGCCTATAATTACCAACAAATGTGGATTAGTCAAATATTTTTTAAACAGCTGAACATCTTCTAACCATAAAGCATAATTATACTGCTATCTAGTGTTGAATATTAAATACACTGTCTATAAACATTACATGTTTAAAACAGAAAATGATCTGAAAGTTCCACTATACTTTATGGTATAACAAAATTAAATAACTAACATTATCCATGTTATGAACTGTCATTTTTTAAAATACTTGCAAGCTTTTATAATGGTACTTATTACATTATACAGTGTTATGACAGTACACATATTTTTGTATTTGATTGATATAACGTGTGCATTTATATACATACACCGGCATTGCATTTCTCAGAAAGTGAACAGGGTGGGAGATTTTAATCCTGCAGTGAAGCAGAGCACCCCTGAGGAGGTATGGGGGAAGGGTGCTGGTGGGTCACGCAGATTGTCTGAGCTCATATGCGAGCTGCCACATAGACAAAGCTGCTTTTTAGGGCGGTTAACATTCATCCCGGCTTGAGTCTCCTGTAGTCTGTTTCCTTCTCCACAGCCACTACTAGTGTTTAGAAAACAGACAGTTGAGAGTGCAAAAATGGATCATTACTAATGACTGAAAGGGGTTTTGCCCTTAGGACTGCAACGTATTCCCAGTATTGACACCCCATGAACAATCTTTGACAATATGGCTTCCAAAATGTGCACGGCTTATATGAAGAATTTTAAAATGGAATAATTTAATGCAGCAGGATGAGTAAACAAGAAGTTAGTTTATAATGAATTTTAATCCCAATTACAGCAGAAAATTGGGTTATTCATTCAGACTGTCTCATTTAAAGGGTCCTTACTGTTCTGGTATAGGGTGTGTCAGAATAAAGATATGCTTGTGAGAAAGGGTGAGTGACAGTAGTTGTGTGTTTGCACAAGTCCCCCTATTTGGTACTCTGACCTTGTGGGGGAGTGAACACAACTATGTGCTTGTTTTTACCCTTTTACTGATCCAGCAGCTCATATAATCCACTGTTTAAGCTCCTTATCTGTAGCACTATTTTGAGGAGAGAGGGAAAAATATACTATCTGTCTTGCTTTTAGGAAGTCTGAGAGTTGAGTTTTGTTGACTGTTGATTTATAGCCCATACAGAACAGAATTTAATTTGAAATCATATCTCTGAAAGATATATAAAAGTTATGTGGGCTCATGAAATACTAGAAGGTGCCATTTGATAATAGTCAGCTGTATTTGACCTATGTATGTGATATGTGGCCTTTTTGGTCATTACACAAAGTGTATTTTTTTATTGTCAACAAATGCATCTTTATATAGTATGTCAGATTATGAACAATATTATTTAGACATTTTTTAGATTTAGATTTAAGATTTTTAGATTTAAGTTAACTATTTAATTTGTAATTAAAAATACAATCACAGTCATAACAGCAAAAACAATGCTGTTGTTACTTTCAGAGATTTTGTAAATATTTTTCATTTCTGGTCATGTAGTTGATTTTTTTTAAATCTGTGAATTTATTTTCTGAACCTCATGATTAGTTCAAAAGAGAGACAGATTGATGTTTTTTTACACTTGCTTTGTTTGAGTATCTAAAATATATTACCGTATTGACCCGAATATGAGACGATGTTTTTTTCTTGGAAATACATCTGAAAAAACGCGGTCGTCTTATATTCAGGGTCTAGACTTTGACATGTCAATAATACACCCACAACAATAGGTGGCGCCAAATACGCATGAAACCAGTGTGCCATGAAATACGTAATGTAATGCGTGTTGTAAAGATGGCGAGTAAAAACAAAAGAAAAAGAAAACCCTACAGCTGCAAGAGTCGTGAATGTCCTAATTCAGATGGGCTACCTGGGTTTTTTTTTTTAAGTGTATATTTTTTTTATGTGATTGTTGTTACATTTTACCAGTTTTTACCATACTTTCAAATAAAAAATTAAAATAGGAAAAATATGCAATATGAAAATATTTGAAGACAAAATGTGTTTTACTGAGAAAAAACAAGATTTGGTTTTTAAAAAGCCTTTTTCCAAAAGGTACATCTGGAAAAAGGGGGCTCGTCTTATAATCAGGGTCGTCTTATATTCGGGCCAATACGGTAATAGAAATCAAAATGTAGCTATTATTCCAGAAGGGTAACTAAATAAGTGTGTAGGAATTAAGCTTATTTAGATGTTGTTTTGTTGTTGTTTTAAATTGTAATCCCTATTCATCTATTTAATAGTACATATGTTTTTGGTTTGTATTGTTGTTGATTACTCACAAATATTTGTAGCATTAGTAATCACCATATTAGTCACGAACAGCATTGAGCACTTTCCACGTGTCTTGCTTGTAGCGCGACAAAAAAATAAACTACAATTACCATGAAGCATTCTCATTAAAAGGGCTTTCCTTCAACGCGAAGTAGAGACGCAACTCCGAAATGCTGACTTGGTGTTGTAGTTGTATATTATAGTTTCTACGTTACATCGACTGACCACGTAGTTCTAAAAAACAACAAATCCCATAATCCCTTGCGCCGCAATCACCAGCGTGACACGCTACGGTAAATGTCCGTGTGTAGGCGAGTCACGTGTGGAGAGTCCGTTGATCTCGTTTCGTGTAAGCAGTGAATCTCTCCTGTTTGTTCATTTGGGCCCCATTTCATGTTGTGTTGAAAACAACATTTCGTGTAAATTCATTAATCTTCGCCGAAGAATGAGCGACAACGATGATATCGAGGTCGATAGTGATGTGAGTATAGTTATTAGTGTTTGTACTCTGCATGTATGAGAATGAAACCTTGTATTTTCGATACTTGAGCCTCAATACGAGGCTAGCCTGTTAGCTAGTTAGCCATCCTAGCGTTTGAATTCATTTAACAGCCAGTTTACTGAGAATATCAAGCCACATGAGCAATTACCCACGGGGCTCGAGTTTATACTTGTCTCCATATAAGTTATTTACATTTACGATTCTATGTAGTAAAACAGTGCATTGCATCCATCAATAGCCAGTTAAGTATCTACAATTGTACTTTTCTGTTCTGTTTTCTTACAGGAAGAATCGCCGAGATTTCACTCTGGGGTGCGTAATAAGCGGAGCAATTAATCCAGTTTAGCCTTTAATGCCGAAAATTGCTTCTCTTTTTGAGATTAGCTACAATTTATTTCCGGGTAGGTACTGAACGGCCGTAACTAATTTGCATCGGTGGACGACAAAACAAGATAGAATCAAGCCTAAAAGGGGGTAGATGTGGTGGAGTGAATGAGCACACAGTCAGCTTGTTTTGAGTCGGTTCAGGGAGCTCCGTGCTCTACAGCAGGGCACTTGCTGCAGGAGGAAGGGAGGGACGTGAGAACCGCATCTACGCTGCGAGCGCGCGATGCGCCAGAACGCTCGCGTTATAATCGGCGAACGGATTCTCTTCCGTCGAGCGTTCTAGTGTGTCGCGACGCTAGCAGTGTATGTTGCGTATTAGTTGGACGATGGTAATAAGACGGCAGGGCTTCCATTGTAATATATGCATTTCACCCCAATGAGATCTTGTTTTTGTTAGATTAGACTGTGTATGAATAAATAAGCAACATTAAATATTAATCCTCAACCTATGGAACATCCCCCTTTTCAGTTTTCAAAGTAATTTTGTTGTGCATTGCCAAAGCATTAATAAACAGACAAAACAAAACAAAAATTCAAATGAACATAAGACACATGTATACATATAAACACTTATGTGTATATATATATATATATGAAACTTAAACTGGCATGTATGAACTAATTGGAATTTTTTTTATCCCCAAAATAAACTTTGATTTACCATCATATTGTTAGCATCATATAAGATAGCAATGTGCTGAAACGTCTGCTTGCTTGCTTGCTTGCTGTGTCCATCTGTTTTTAATTCACATGCACTTTGCACTTTTTGCACGATGCAATTCATAAAATTAAAAAATGTTTTTGTAGACTTTTCCAGTCTTGAGTGGATCAGTGTGCGGTTAGCCAGCCTCTTGTTCACCATCATATTGTTCCAAATCTGTATGATAATTTTTTTTCTGTGAAATGCAGAATGAGAAATGATGCCATGAAGGTGACTGAGTCTGTCAGTCCCTGATATTCTCTGTTAAATATTATATATGTTGTGTGTTAAAGTCATGCAGATTTGAAACCAGATGAAGGGGTTGATGATGATGCAGTTTTATGTTTTATTGAAATATAATTTGAAGTAAACTAAAATTTCCAGTCTGGGCAGTGAGGTTTTCAGGCAGTTGATTTCTTAAGCTTTCACACCTTACATTACTCATGCATTTGTGTGATGGTCCTTTTATTAAAGCATAATGCTTTTGTTCACCATTACACATCACTATATCCCAGAGGCCTGAACAAGTGCATGAACCTGCTGCTTAATGAACAAGCATCTTTAAAGAGAATATGTAGTGTAGAAATGCAGAGGTGGCATAGAGTACATTGCTGAGTGCTTCATTTAAATGATGTGACCAAGTTAAAACTTAAATGTCTGCAGTCAGAAACTGCGTAAAATAATTAAATGGATTAAAATCCACATTAGGCCATTTTCAAAAACTAAAAAAAGCCTGACCATCTCCTTAGGTCACTTAATATCACTTTAAAATTATGCTGTTATAGCTTTCAATGCATTTGGAAATTCCTTGAGATTTTGTGGAGATGGGACCACAGTCTGTGTTAACTAACCATAATGATTTTGGCATATATTTTAAATGTTTAAAGTGTCAACTCAAAGCTCATTTTTACCCATTTTCTGCACAAGGACTTTTAAAGTACCACGTGCAGCCCTAACCTGTTTGCTCAGCTTGTACTTGGGATGCTCTGTTTAACTAGAAAATGGGTTTGTAGATCCCTTCACACCCTAGATTAAAACTGAGACTAGATCATTGACTTCAACAGTACAGTAGTGTAATTTGCATTGCCATTTTTTGAATTCCCAACCTATAAACATGTTTTGATGTTAAAGGGATGAATGTCTGTCGTCATTTACTCACATTCATGTCATTCCAAACCTTTATGATTTTAAAACAAGAAGATATTTTGAAGAATGTTTCAACTGTTTTTGTCCATACAATGCAAGTTAATGTAGTCCAAATTAAATTTGGACCTCACTGACTTCCACTGAATGCTTAAAAATGGGTTTGTGTTCCACAGTAGAAACTTATACTCATTTGGAATGACATTGGGGGGGGGGGGGTAAATGATGACAAAAGCTTTATTTTTGAGTCATCTATCACTTTAAGTAGTGACTGCTCAGTGTGAAAGGTGTGTCGATTGGGTTCATAGCAAGATGCTTAAAATAGCACTCATCACAAAGCAGGCTTGTTTTTACTAGCCTTGAGTTTTCATTGGGCAGACTGGAGACATAAGGTCTGCAATGTCCCCAAAGTCCTGTTTATCTCCCCTTTCTTTTTGTGCTGGGAGGAAATAGTTTTTTTTATCAGGATGTTGAAATCATAAGACAACAGGAGGAGCACATGCTGTTGACTATTTAGAGAAAGCCTTCCTCAGCCAAAGTACTCGTCATTTTGCTTTTTTATGTAATTTATAGCCCTTCATACCATTAATTTTGTGGAGACATTGTGCTTTTTATGGCAGAATTGTGGAGAAACCACATGGATAGTTTTCACTATACTCGAGTACAGGAGAATAACTCTTGACATGTTGAGCACTTGGCCACCTCACGTGCATGTAACTCGATCCTGACATTGGCAGTGTACCGTGTAACATTTTAGACATTAGACAGACAGCCTGGATCTATGGCCACACCTCGCCCTTCTAGGTGGCGCATAGACGCTGGAATGTCTTAGTGCTGCCCGGTGGTACTTCAGCATTCGGATAACTGCTTTCGTTTTGCTGCTTTTTCCACGTAATGCAAAAGAGGTACTTGTTAATGAGTCACTGGATTCAAAACCGGTTTTACAGCTGTGCTTTTATGTAATAACAGTGTCTTGGCCAACCCCAGTGACATTGGACTCCAGTGGCCATGTTGTTTTCTCAGAGCAACGGTCTCAGGGTACTAAAATGAGACCCAACGGAGAGACTTTTTGAGGGATAGTACAATTGCAGTCGTTGTCCTAAAAATAGCTAAGTATGTTCTGACCAACATAGTCCAGAAGAATAAGCTATAATAAAAAAAACACTCCTTATGTAACTTGTCTCTATTACAATTGTCATGATCACTTAAAGACGAAACAATAGAATCTATTTTTTAATGGTCTGTATTACTACAGTGTTTATTAGTCAAGCTATAAATGTTTCTTTATTACACTATAAGCCAATGGCACCATGGCCAGCGAAGCGGCTGAAGCCACTGTGATTCTCTCATTGCAGGCAGACAAACGGGCACATCACAATGCGCTGGAGCGCAAACGTAGGGACCACATCAAAGACAGCTTTCACAGCCTTCGGGATTCCGTTCCCGCCTTGCAAGGGGAAAAGGTTGGTGAATGTCACTGGTAAAACCATGAGGAGAATAAGTAGGCATAAAGGATGTTTGTTTCATGTGCTTTTTGTTAATGAAATGTCTGCTGTTACACTGAATATGTTTGTTGAATGCGATGACTTTAAAGGTTTTAATGAGATGATTAGCATGGGATTTCCATGTTGAGCTGTGAATGAAAAGCATTATGAGAATTGGGAGCAGAGTAGGACCAGACTGATCGATGTGATCCTGGTACAGGCGTGGTGCCAGGAAGCCATTACAAGGGGAAATGCGGTTACGCCTTCCTCTTGTGTTTCTTATCGGAAATAGATGTTTCAAGAATGTAGAAGTAATTTTTGACTGCTATGATAGAGCTGTATTTCTAGTCACATGACTAGGAATGCACAATATATTGGTTATTGGCTGATATAATCTTTAAAAGCATGATTAATAATTGAATAATGCTGTTAAATGTAATCTTTAACAAATCTTTAGTATATCTATTTGTACTGTAAATTATAATGTTGTGATGTCAGCGTTTAATTTAATATTTTTAAGTGTTTCGAATTTTCATTGTGTAGACACATTTTGTTGAGTTTTCAGCCATTTATTGGTTATCGGTCATAACATGAACATTTTTGGCTTATCAGTGTTGGCCAGAATTTTCTAAATGTGTAGCTATTTGTGTAGTGTAGTAAATGTGTAGTGTTTTCATTAGGAATTGTTAAGCCCCAAGTATACTTCACTTTTTACACGTGCGCGAGGAACAGCATACAGTCCGCGTGATGTGAATTTCGTAACGCTGTCCCAGGCCGTTGTTTCACAGTAGAAAACGAAACTAAAGAGACGGAACAAAAACAAAATAGTGGTGACTGCAACAACAACAGACGGGCGCATTGACAAGCACTTGTGAGTGAGAGGGAATGGGATTGTCCAGCTTTGGTTTAAAAGACTTCAAAGAAATGTGTTATCATCGGTTATGAATTATGGGCGAAAGTAGAGCAGGCGCTGGACATGGATGAAGCTTTCTATAGCACATGTCGACCGCCCGCATTCGCACACAACATTAAATGGAGGATACTTCGAAAGGGTACGCGTTCAACTGTACTCATATGCTAGCGTACGCGTACAAAAACAAAGTATACTTTGGGCTTTAGGATTTGTTTGGGTTAATATGTGTGCAATGTAACTGCATTCCTTGCGTCAAATTCTAGTTTTTCATTTGTTGCTGACAGCAATCTATCAAACAGGCATCCCGAGCTCAAATCCTAGACAAAGCCACAGAGTACATCCAGTACATGCGACGGAAAAACCACACACACCAGCAGGACATCGACGACCTGAAGAGGCAGAACGCTCTGCTGGAGCAACAAGGTGGGTGTCGCTGCGTTACTCCTCACTTTTGTCATCTGGTCATGCTGATCTAAGTCCAATTTGGCTGTTGTAGTTCCATTGTGCCTCATACACCATATGATTTCAGGCAAAAAGAATGAAGAATGTGTCGTCTTCTCTTTTTAATTTCCAGTACGGGCACTGGAGAAAGTCAAGGGGACCACACAGCTGCAGGCCAACTACTCCTCTTCAGACAGCAGCCTGTACACCAATCCCAAGGGCAGCGCTGTATCGGCCTTCGACGGTGGTTCCGACTCGAGCTCGGAGTCTGAGCCGGAGGAACTGCGTTCCCGGAAGAAGCCCCGTGGGGAGGACAGCTAAACAGCGGATCCCCGGTTCTCCTCAGAGGGGAGGGAGAGTTACAGCAATGGTCTGTTTCTTGTTGTTTTTTGTGTACCTCAATCGCCCCAAACCACCTTGATCAATCTCTTTCAGTGAATGTCAACCCTCGATTCCACGCCTGAAGAAACCTCCGCCAGGTTTACAAGAGAGAGGGATGCCTGTTACGGGAAGAACACTTGTTTTTACTCTCCCTCCCTCTCCGACTCTGTTCGTCCATCTTGCGTCCTGGCACACGCAACAACAACAAACGATGATTTAAACCCAAAATGAGGCAGCTTTGCAACTTAAGGACTTGCTTTGTTTTTGTTTTGTTTTTTTGAACCCATGTCTGCAATCCCTCCAGGTGGATATCCAAAGGGTTGAATGAGACATACAGCTCCTAGCACTGCTAAAATATACTTTTTTGTCGAATATCTTAAAGCCTGCTTAGAACTTACCCTTAGCTGAATTGTCCCGAGTGGTTTGCCTTTCTAAATATTTGTTACTTTTCCGTAAAGGAATGTTTTTGAAGCATCTATCAATGTACCCCTTGTTAGACCTAGGGGATGAGTGATACGTTTTGACGTTATCAATAAAATCCCTTATTTAAAAAAAAAATACAAAAAACAAAAAAAAATGCTTTATGGGAAGGCTGCTGAGCTTGTGTTGTATTTGTTGTTTTAGCCTGATGTAGTAAAGTTTACAGGTTGGGGAAAAAAATAGATTTTCTTTTAAAACAAGGGGGATAAAAAAAAAAAGTGATAAAGCATATATATTGCATCTGTCATCTGAGCCTCCCAAACATGTATTTTATGTATTTCACTCCATATTGGGAATATAAACGTTTCAAATGATGTTTCCCCCCCACAAAGCTAGTCAATATTGAAAGAGTAGATTCATGTCGTGACTTTTAAAGGTAAATGTTCTAAATGTTCATCGGAAATTTTATCGCGGCACACCACAAAAGTTGCTTTGCTAGAGTTTTCAAACACTTAAGCTCAGATGCTAAACTGGCACAAAAAAAGCACCATAAAATTAGTCTATATTATGTGTGTACTTTAATCAAAATCTTGTAAACCAGATGTGTGAAACTTTGTGTAAGGAACAAATAAAATGTCATTGAATTCGTTCCCCTCCATCGTGGCTCTCAAATTTCATTCATACTTATGCATATTCATATGCTCACATCAGGAGATGACTTCACCCCATTCATTTTTGGATTAACTGTTCCTTTAATGTACTATGATAAAATGCGATTCTGTTTTGATATTTTATACCAGCATTTTAAGATTAAAAGCATGACTGAATACAGTTTAAAAGCTCATTGAACAGCACAGATCAAAAGAATGATTCACTCACAAATTTGACATCACGACAGAGTTTCACTCCACACAAACTCTAGAGGAGCATTCATCTAGCTGATGAAATGTTTTAGAGCAGAGCAGAACTAGAAAATGCATTTTCATGATAAAAATTTACATGCCTTATGACTGAAGTATATAATAATCTAAACTTCATAAATACATTTTCTCCTCCAAGAAAATACAACAAAATTAGTATATACTTAATTTTACTGGTATCATGATTTATGATTTATAAAACAAGCTAAAAAAAACAAACATTTCTAATGTTTAATTCACTCCCCTCAACATTTTTTCCCTTGAAGAACCAGGGTTCCCACCATCTTGAAACTGAATATACTGTATAAGGACGTCTAATTTTAAAAGTGTGATTTTTACATTTATTACAGTTACATTTTGTGAACATTTTTCAAGTTACGCAAAGCTTTAAGATATTGGGTAGCAATTGTGATTAAAAATATTTTTAAAAATCCTTATCCAGGAAATCTGAAAAACTGGAAAGGTCATGGGGCCTTCAAATATAATTTCTTTGTGATAATCCCAAAATTTGAGAATCTGACTTTTCATTCGACACATTATTAGTGGTGATATCACGGCAAGCTTATAGACTGTATTATATATATATATATATATATATATATATATATATGCATGTAATTGTGTGTGCGGTGGAAGAGCTGTACTCACTTGCCCGGTTTGTCCAGAAGGCCTCCACCAGGATTCTGGCAGCAGAGGAGGATGTATTCCTGCAGAGCCTCTCTCTCAAACATCCAGCTACTCTCACTCAGCGTTGAGTCTCCTACACACAGTAATATTTTCATAGGTTAATCTACTAAATCTGACACTAGACCCCATGTGTTTTTATATCCAAATGAAGACAAAAAGTACATTGGAAAAAAACATGCAGACAAAAATGTGTAAATTAATGAGTGGAAACTGTAACCTTATGAACCTTGTAGTATTTTAATCAGTTGATAATTGCTAAACGTTTCATAAATAAGCAAAAATGTTGGTTGTTTTTCTAGGATGACCGCTCACCTTCTTTAAAAAGAGCCCTGTGGAGTAACGGTAATAGTCCTGCTTGCCAGAAGGAGTAACACCCATCCACCAGCTTGTTACAGCGGCCCTGAAATCCACCTTCAAAACGCATTTGTTTGCTGGTTACCCAGCGCTAATGAAGGAAAAAGAGAGAAAAGCCTCCAGTTTACTGGTTTACAAGTATCAGCATAGGAAGATTATTAGTGCTGCTGCCTTATCGTTAAGACAAATCTGCCTGTGCACTGAGACTGTTAATATCAATGTCTGCCAAAGACCCTGGAAATCTGCTGATCTAAGCATCTACGATGTTGCAGCACACCGACGTTAATATTTCCAAGCATGTTTTAGTGTCCCTGAGGAACCGGTAATGAGACGCTTCTCCTCCAACACTTAGGATACACATAACTGACCTTTAACGCATCTCATAAACCTCAGTTTATTCACTCTAATGGACAGGAAGAGTCAGGTTAAATAAAAGGTGGAACTGTAGCAAAGGGAAAACAAGGCAAGACAAAGGACTTACTAACAAGGCTTTGAGATCCAGCATATGTTCTTTGCCCAGTATGACCAGAGCAGCAGTACCACAGAAGGTGTAGCCGCCATGTGCCTCAAGTCCTGGAACTCCACCTAAACCGCCCTCCCAGTTCTGACAGCTGAAGGCCGAAGGAAAGCACAACATTGCAGTATTTATCAGTCAAACTATTGTCATTCTGTGTGCTGTGTCTGAGATTTAACTAACTTAGGGACAGAATATGCTTTTGTGTTTAAAACATGAAACGGGGCAGTGGAATGGGACAAATTAAAGTTTTATTTTTTAAAGTTGAACTTTTTTTTTTACTTGAGTGTCGCATTTTTAGGATGCGTCATGCGCAAAAAGACGTGAATGGTCTAAAGTGTCCGTCTAGACTAGAGCATGTTTACAGAGAAAAAACTATGGAAAACCAGATCAGAAGAATGCAAAACATGTTCCGAGTGAATAGCCCATTAAAGCCTAATAAATTATATCAAAATGTTTTTTTTCCTAAAAACAAAATACAGAATTAGTTTTTCTTTACAACACCTCTGTCATTGCCAACAAAGTGTATATAACAAAGTATTGAGATGAAATTTTGTTATTGACCAAATACTTATTTTCCACCATAATTTGCAAATAAATTCTTTAAAAATCCTACAATGTGATTTTCTGGATTTTTTTTTCTCATTTTGTCTCTCATAGTTGAGGTATACCTATGATGAAAATTACAGGCCTCTCTCATCTTTTTAAGTGGGAGAACTTGCACAATTGGTGGCTGATTAAATACTTTTTTCCCCACTGTATGTAGGGTGGCCATGTGTGCCATTTATACGGGACACGTCCTGGCCAGGATTTTTATATTGCCTAAAACATCCAAAGTAGTTTGACCATTAACATGCAGGTTTTGTACATAATCGACCAATCGTGGCGCATCGCGCGTGAGAAGGTGAGAACGATCAAAGCGATGCAAATATGCACACGTGTAGGAGGAGCCGTCTGCTCTGCTCTCTATAGTTCTCGTGAAATAATGTCATACAATGATCGATCTGCACAGTGCTAACAGCCAAAGCCTGGATATTTTGGGCAATATAGAAATCCTGGCAAGGGTGCGTCCCGAAAAAATGCCCCGCATGATCACCCTAGTTATATGGGATGACATCAAATTTATATGATCATATATTTTATTTTTTATCAAACCTCAATATTTGATTTTGTATACTTAATTATACAATATGAATATGAAGCTAAATAGAAATATGAAAAAACTAATGAAAGTGACAAAAGCACATAAAATTATTAAAACTTACATTAAATTTATATTATATTATATAAGATAATTCAAGAAATTAACAAACTCTATAATTGAACATAAATAATACTATATAGCTGGCCTGTTTTAAAAGAGAATGTGGAAGTAGTTACCTGAGAATCCAATTGTGCGTCCCATCAAACAGGGTGGGGGTGATTATATTGGTGAGTGAAGCCACAGAAGCGGCACAATATGCACTCCTATCAGATCAGACACACACAAGAGCAACCACGAGTCAACAGGCACACAATGATCACCATCTATGCATGTTAATAACCACAAGCTACATTATTAGAATAAGCCTGAAAGCCTGTGAGATCCAATTACTTTTCAAAGTGACTTTCTTTGTTTAGCGCTGATGTACGGTGAACATAAAGCATTTTTCTAGCACTAATCTGTCTGCTGGGAAAAGTAAAAGGTCACTCTTGAAAAATGCTTCAGCACAGTAACAGCAGAACATGGGGAATAAAGAGATGTGTGGCTGTTGTGAAGATGCTTCAGGGTTCACTGGAACAACGGTGGTAGAGCTCACCTGACGTCCACCTCCCCGCCCACATGCATCACAAAGGAGCAATCTGGCTGCTTCACAGAGTACAGGAAGTCCAGGAGCCTCTCTCTGATGAGGGAGGAGGCAAACAGAATGTGTTTCCATGGTAATATGGTCAACGTAACATCTGTAGGCAAGCAGGTGATCATACAAAGCAAACGTGAAACCTGTTGATGACTTTGAAGGCCTCCTCTGTGCCCAGGATGCAAAGGGCGTTTACAGCTGCGTAGGTGGGAGCCAGGTGAGCGTGTTGACCCGGACCGCCACTGAACCCACCTGTCGGACTCTGACATCTGGCCAGGAACTGGCACACACTGGCAGACAACGGTTAATGTTGATATAGGCATATAAATGTGATAGGAACTTAAAATTTAAGCAAAAAGCCATATCCTAAAATAATAAGGGAAGCAGCTTTATTTTAAAACATTATTTTCATGTTTTCATTGATAACAGATAAATGACAGATATTGAAATTCTATAATATCTTGTTTAAATTAAAAATAAATAACTAAAAACTAAAATTAATCGTTTTTCATGTTGCAATTATATTGTACAGTATAAAAAATGCAAAATGAACATGATTAATTAAAAATGAAATATTGACAGATATTAATAGATTTTTTTAAATCTCTTAAAAGCATCATCTCCTATATGAACTACATAATGCAATTCCCTAAATATATTAAAGTCAAATTTGCTATTAATGCTGTATAAAATTGATCACTCTTCTTTGCTAAATTATCGCTTTTTTAAAAAACTATTTAAAACACTATAGAATGCAGTAACAATCACAGCAAAAATATGACTGCAAAAAGACTTCTTATGAATTCACCTCTATGTTACCGTCATTTGATTTATTATTATTATTATTTATTTCAGTCTGTTTGGAAGTAGTAGTAGTCGTATATTTTTATTTAATGCCATGCCAGCATCTTAGGCTATTTTCATGGCAAAAACAATTAAAAAAATACAAGTATAACAAATACAATAAAAACCAGCAAACAAACAAACGTCTGTTTGGAAGTCATAACCCTTCATAAATCCTTCAACCAGGCAGCTATAAAGCAATCTAAGCATAGTCTGCATGGAGAAAGAATGCATCTGCGTCATAGCTACTAATGTAATGCAACTTTGACTTTATCTGTAGTGGTCACATTAAGACCATGACAGTAACTGTGTAAGGGGACCTAAGCACCTATCTCACTGCCACGTGTACTCTGATAGTGAACTGCAGAGAAGAGCTGGTACTCACTCTGAGGCAACTGCTGCCGGCACAGGCTCCTCTAGCAGCTCCAGACTGTGCAGGATCCAGTAGCAGAGCCAAGGCCGGCTGGCATCCAAACACTGAAGCCAGACAACATGCAGATTCAGCAGCCATTACCACCAGTCTCACACACAGAGCTGCTCTGGAACATGGTGTTCTCAAACAAATACACACAAAAACTAGAAGCATGGTGTTCTCAACTACCCACCCACATACACAAGTATTGTATCACAAGGCTGTAGATCTTTAAGAGCTTTGTGTAAACCAGTTTTGAGTGTTTGTGTTATTAATGAAACTAAACTGGTTTTTTTTTAATATCCAGTTAAATGGGGTTCAACCAAAAATAAAAACACTGTCATCATTTACTCACCCTTGTGTCACTCCATCCAAACCTCTATGACTATATGACTTTTTAACGTCAAACCCAAAATGAGATATTTAGCAGAATATCTAAGCTGCTCATCTTATCTGTCAAAATAATTTGTGATTATTCTCATGATTTTCAACCAGTCTTTTCTTCGATTCTTTTTCCACATTGTACCTTCTTTTTTGTTTTCCACCCATGAAAGTAAGTCATACAGGTTTGGAATGACATGAGGATGAGTAAATAATGACACTATATTTAATAATGTGTAAACTATCCCTTTAAGTCAGTGCTATTATCTTTTACTAGAAACTAAAACCATAAAAACACTTGCATTACTTAAAAATATATATTAACTGTCTGAAATAAAATAAAATATCAAAAAAACTCACAAGTTGAAGTACTAAAAAAAATAAAACATTTTACAAAGACATATTATAAAGGTATAGTATTAAGACACATAAAAAAACAGAAAATATAAAAAATTAAATCTGACTCAAAATATTAACAAAAACTATAATAGTATATCGGTGATACTAAAACAACACTGCTTCAAGTTCAGTCAGAAGTTTTCAGAAGACACTGTTTACCTCATATGCATCAGAGAGATGGCGTAAACCTTTCTTCAGATAATGATAGTGTTGCTCCCTCAGTAAAGCAGGCCTGAAAAAATAGATTGTAGAATCATCGATTTAATCATCTTATTAGAATCGATCTATTGCAAACTATAAATCATTTTTACATTAAACATATCTCTCTATTCACATACTGGCAAATGATCAAATTCAACTTTCATCAAGATTTATAATAGCCTAGTACAAGGCAACAACTTATTTGTACAAAGTTCGTTCAATAACTGAGCTAACATCCTCCAATTATCCCCATCAAAGGAAGTGGCCGTGTTAAAATGATAGAGTGCATGAGTCAGAACAGCCTACACACAGTACGCTTGACTTCAGCGCTGGCTGCAGAGGTGTTGGGGCATGTCTAATTTGAGGGAACCTCAGCTGAAAGAACAGATCATTAACCCCTGTTCTTTCTCTCCTCTGCTGCTCTCTGCTGGGCCACAGAAAGCACAGTCATTACATTTGTGACAAACAGATCAGAGTGACGTATGGCCTTCACCAGGCAAGTTTCATACGAATTAATGCTTCTGTTGAAAAATTTGTTGCACCGTTTTGCAGGATAATTTATTTGTCCTGTCATGCCTAAAATTAAGTGTAATTAAACTGACAGTCTTTAAAATGTAATTTATTCCTGTTTACTCCAGTCTTTAGTGTCACATGATCCTTCAGAAATCATTCTATGCATTATATGCTGATTTGGTGCTCAAGAAACATTTCTTATTATTATCAATGTTGAAAACAGTTGTGCTGCTAAAAACTATGTAGAAACTGATTTTTTTCATTGGTTCCTTGATGAATTGAAAGTTAAAAAGAGCAGCATTTATTTCTCTTTTTTATGCTCAATTTAATGCATCCATGCTGAATAAACATATTCATTTATACTAGCCCCAAACTTTTCAACAGCCATCTATACTTCTTAATTTATGTAAAAATGATTTACCATTTACAACACTACAAGAACATATTGTCATTATCATATTACATGCAATAAACTGTAAGCATAGTGGTTACAAATGTGTTTTTCCACAGTTTTCTCACTGGAGTGCAAAATTAGAAAAGTTGTAAATTTGACAACAGAGGTAAAAAGTACCATCTGGATATGCGGCAGAACAGCTGATGTGCTACTACAGCATCTAGTCCAAATGTCTGGGGTTATCCAACCTTTGTCTGGCAGTCTGATTACATCAGTTTAATCACAGTTGGGTTTCTAATTTCATCTACAGGTACAAATACTCTGAGCATAGAAGTTCTGAAATACACAGACCTCATGCTGTGGTGGAAAAAGGTGAAAATTAGATGTACCAGAGGCTAGGGCTGGGTGACATATCGAATATCAGAGATGCTATCATATGATAGTCCAATAATTAATATGAAATCACAGATTATAATCGACCCTCCGCTGGGAGCTTGACTGACAGGCGATCTGAACAGTCATAACGCCGAATCTGACATTTGGTCCAACAAACAAACCAGACAGGAGAGTACATTAACGTCGTTGGACTTGAACTTGAAAATAGTGTGCATTGACATTTTTTGGCGGTTGAAACCTTCTGATGTTCATTCATGTTTATTTTGTGCTATAACTAGTAAAGAGGAAGAGATACTTAGTGCTTGAACTGAGGCACTAAAGCGATCTGTCACAACACAATAAAGAGCCACAAAACGGTATTTATCATTTGAATTTCTTAAAAAAAAAATAAGAGACAGAATTTGAAAGCTGAGACTTTGTTTCATACCAAAAGTAACCTGCTCTGTCTTGTCTGTGAGCTCGTTGTCAGCTTCTTCTGTGCACCGCAATGTATTTTTCAATGCTTCATAACATGATGTGTAGCGTGAGAGCACCATGGACGTAGCAACTAAGTGGGGTGGGTTTTTGCTAAGGGTCAATTACAGAATATCATGACTATAAAGTATTGTTGAAAACTAAGACTGATGCACTAAAGACGGCACCAGATTTGACTTCTCCTGCAAACTAGCCAAGAAGTGCTTATGTGTTCTAGCAACTAGTTCCCCATCTGAAAGTTTTAGTGCCATTGGGAAAAGTGTCATGCCACAGAGCATCTCTTAAACCACAAACTGTTGATAGACTTGTGTTCCTCTTGACTAAAAACTTGTGAAACACTTGCGTAATTCACCCCAGTTGGCAAATGTGCAAAAAACTTAAATTTAATTGCTTCCAAGAAGCTGTCAGAATACAATTTTTGCACTCTTTTTACATATTGTTAGATTTAAATGTGTTAATTTAATTAAAAGAAGTAAATGGTCACATATTTAACTGTGTTTTTGCCACTAAACAGTTTGAATGCGTTTAGAAACAATAGCCGTCTATCCAGATCATGTTGTATTCATTTTTTAATGGGGCAGAAGAAAATCACCAAATGCAAAAATATTGAGATATATGATTATTGTCAGAATTTGGAAGAATACTGAGACCAAATTTTAGGTATATTGCACAGCCCTCCCAAATCTACCAAATTAGTATCTTAGTTCCCTGCATATGTTGTGATGCTACAAAATATTACATAATAAGTGTGCTGTGCTATAAGATTACATAATAAGACTGTGCTACAAAACATACATAGCAGACAATCTAATGTTGTTGGTTTTGTTGCCAAAGACATTTTCATGAACATGTTGTACTTGTACAGAATAACAGTGATTGCTGTCTAAAAGCAGCACACTGAAGCTCAACGAACTGATTAAACAATACTGTGGAGATCCCGCTTTGTGTTAATGGCCAGAGAAGGCTAAACTTTACTTACTGCGGTGAGGTGTGAATTTGCTGGTAAACACTGTACACCTCTTGAATACTGCATTCAACTTTTCTCTAAATTTAATGATAAAACAGGAAACAAAAAATGTGGAAGTGAATTAACCAAATAGGAAATGTGACAACAAGCCAAATGACATGCAGACAGAAAGATCCACTGTGGCCGATGCTGCTTGTGTATATGGGTGGCTGACATCACATCCTGTTCAGTGTGTCATGCAAAGACACAAAAATACCGCCTTATACATTCATTTTGAAACCCATAGTATGACTTAATTGTGCATACTGGAATGCCAAGTGCTTGAACTTTTCTCAAATTCAGAGCAATAACAGTCACACTTTATTTTAAAAATGAAGAAATTGAAATTACAGTCTTTAAACGATTATGTCGTTAATAATACTATACATTTTGTTTGCCAAGTTTAAATAAATAATAACCTCTCATAGTTAACTGTCAACCACCCATATAACAATGCAGTGCAACATAACATAAACCAGTGAAGTATGAGCAGATTCTCCAACGTTTGCAAACGTTCACTCAGTAATGAAAAGTCTGACATCATTTAGACACGTTCGTGTTCTCCCTAACATCTCCGTTTTGTGTTCACAACATGAGGCCGAGTAAATGTTGACAGAATTTCCATTTTTGGTGAACTATCCCTTTAAATGAACCTATAGCTACTATTTACAAAAGTGTAATAAACTAGAGGAATAAGTACTAGGTGAGCTGGATGCAGTGGCATTAGTATAATTACATTCTGCACGAGCAGAACACCCTGCATGATTTTTGGTAAGCACTACTGTATCCCTCAGCAAAGTGATGAAGCACAGAAACAGAGCAAGTAGACAGTTAGCTTTGCGCTAATACCAATTAGCTAACTAATACTAGGAGTTAAGCTCACCTGTTCTCTCGAGGTCACCGTTTGCACGCCGTCATCGCTGAAAAGCTCAGAGGAGTGTGATTCACGAAAGCATCGCAGAGGAGGAGACGCCTTTTCCATGATGAGATTTGAAAACACATGCACTGTAATAGAAAGGAAGCAGTTTTCCAGCAGAGCAAGTGTCAAGACAGCGTGGGAGGGGTTTCCTCAATGGAGTCTTCTTCTTCTTCTTCTTCTTCGTCTTTAGTTTTTTGGCGCATAACAATCTAAATGTATAGCGCCACCTACAGTACGTTGCTGTTGTGCAGTCATGTTATCTATTATCGTCAAAATTACTTATGAACATAATAAAAAAAGGGGGGTTATAAAAATAATAATTATTATAATTCTCCATACATTTGAAACTCTTCCCTTTACCAGATTCCCAGGTTCCAGGGACCCATCTGGCGCTGCGTCTCCAGCTCCTCCAGAACACTTCCCTGGTTCCCTAAAATCCAGATCAGGCTACAGCATCCCAGGTTGATTTTAAATCATCTCGCTCAACCCTGTACTATAAATGTATTTTATTAGCAGCCTATATCCTACTATATCTTAATTAAACTCATATCCTAACAAGTACCCCAAATCCTTATTTACCTTTCCCTTTTTAAGTATGTTATTAATGCCTTTCTTTTTTCGTCATATTTTTTACAATTGTACATTACATGCTCTACTGTTTCTTTTTCCCCACAATACTCACATAAACCATTCTCATGTACTCCAGTAATAAATAGTGATGCATTCAGTCCTGTGTGTCCCAGTCTCATCCTTGTTATAATGACTTGTTCCCTCCTGTTTCTACAACTAATGTTTAGTTTATTATTAACATTTTTTATATTAAATAAATGCCTCCCCTTATTATCTGAATTCTATGTTTCTTGTCAATCCTTTAAAATATTTTCCATAATTATAGTTTTCACTTCACCTTTACTTAAAGCAACATTAACATCTACTTCTTGCATCTTTTGCCAATTTATCAGCGGTTTCATTTCCCAATATGCCCACATGTGCTGGTACCCAGCAGAAACCGACTAATACACCTTTTCTTTGTACACGCCATAATAATATCAATATTTCACTTAATAAGTCTTCTCTACATGAATGATGGGTGGACACCGATGTTAACACAGAAGCAGAATCAGAGCATATCACTACTCTGTCTGGTCTTACCTCTTCAATCCACATCAATCCTATTATGATAGCGACCATTTCAATAGCATATATTAATAGCTTAGATGATACACTTTTAGTTATTGATACATTCAAGTCCGGGATAAAAACTCCTATTCCTGCAAGCCCTATATTTGGGTCTTTTGAACCATCTGTATAAATATGCGTACTCGCATAAAATCTTTGCTGTAAATGTCTATTCACCACATATTTGATATTACCCATTTCCTCCCAGTCCCTTTTCTTGTCTAGTATTTCCAAATCAATTTTAACTTCAGGAATTAACCAAGCTGGTACCTCGCCCCATACTGGAGACATACTACATTCTATATTTGCAATCTGATATCTTTCTGCTAGTTGATTAATATTCCATCCAAAACCCTTCCCTTTTTCCTTTGTATATTCCCAACAATTATTCAATACATCTTTTGAAATATGTTCTCCAGCATGACTGTTCATTGATGTCCATTATACTGGATAATTTTACTCGACGTAAACTTAATGGCTTTTAATTTGCCCCTACTAATAGTGCATTGACTGGAGCTGTTTCAAGACAGCGTGGGAGAGGTTACCTCAATGGAGTCAAGTGACTCAAGCACGGAAAGCTTGAAGGCACATTTGAGAAAGCGGTAATAGTGATTAGACGTTCTGCAGTTCTTCTTCTTCTTTAGGTTCTATGGCGGGTTGCGAACTAGGGATGGGCGTATCGATCCAAAGTATCGATATATCGATACTGACGCGAGTATCGAAAGTATCGATACTCAAACAAAAAATATCGATACTAAGGTGTGTTTTATTTACCAGTGATTTTGTTAATTTAACAAAAATATAATGCGTACAATATGCATCGAATTGGACGAATAACCTTTGTTAGCGAGTAATTGTGTAGGATAGAACTATTTTCCTGCTCATCTGAACACACGCAAATGTTGCAAGACAGAACCAATCAATCACAGAGAGCGTTCACTCACTGCTGACAGTGCATTCAAACAGGGCTGCTTTTCCCAAAAGTATCATAAGAAAGCATTAAAGCTTTTGGTAACGGCAGCCCTGAACAATGCTTATCAGAGGACAGAAGGACAGAGTTATTTCACAATAAACAAACTGAAATTGTAGCCTACATAATTTGTGCAATTACAGTTATTTAAATTGAACGTTGAAATATATAAGGCGTATTGAATGTTAAAATGCATTTTAAACAAAGTTAAGTGCTTATTATTACCCATTTTACTCTTAGTAATTTAATAATTTAATACATTTCATCATTTAAAAGTTTAGTGCAGAAGTATCGAATCGGTATCGATATCGACGATACTGCCTTGAAAAATATCGGTATCGTATCGAAAACAAAATAAGTGGTATGGCCCATCCCTATTGCGAACGTTCTGCAGTTCTTCGTCAGAAACGGCTGAAAAAAAGCTCTTCTGATTATTTTACGTCATGACGTAATACGTATCACGTCGTACCGAACATCCTTGCAGATTTTCATTAAAAAAAACATTTTTAATTCATGTATTTGTTTTAATAATGGCTATTTATAATTGTATTTTATTTTTCATGTTATTCATTCATTCCTTTATTTATTTTGTTTATGTGTAAGTGTTTTTTTTTTCTTGCGTGTGGGTTACATGTGAAATTTGGAGATGCTCTTTAATGATTGTACAATATAATTTCTGTTTCTTTAATAAAAAAAACCTTGCGTGACATATTATATGTCCTAAAACATTTAACAAAGCCATGTGTAGACACACATAACACTGATTCATTTTTTATTTAATGTTTTCATTTATATAATGTTTTCATTTATTTAATGTTTTCATTTATTTAAATTCCTTGTGTTCTAGTTTTGTCCATGATTCAGTTCAAACAATCATTTAGAAGCTGAATATCAATCGTGTTTACAATAAACAATACTGAAATTCATTTACATATTTGGAATGAAAACACGTTACACGTTGTGATAAAATTCTACATAGCCTATCTCAAATGACAGTCCTCGGTTCAAGTGATTCAAGAAGGATTTAAGTCGATTCGTGAACAAATCGTTCATCGAAAAGATTCGACTCAAACGAATGATTCGGTGACGAATCGGGCATCGCTAAATATAACAAATATCATCCCCTTGTTTTTTTTCTTCTTTTTTTTTGTTGTAAAATGATCCGCTATGAATTTATGACGGTATAAAAGGCTGATGTTGCAGATTTAATTTGTTTTATGCCCCAATTTCTCTCTCTCTCTATATATATATATTGACAATATTAGACTGTAAACAGTCCAGTTTATCCACGCAGTCCTGGTATATATAAAATTAATCTAGGTCAATATCAGTATCAAAATCGTGATGCTGTGTGCCCGTAATCTCCACCCATTTCCTGAGGTGTGAAGGATGTCGGCGAAACGCACGGAGAGCGTTCTGTAGCCCACCGCACCCACCACCACAGCAGCAGCGTCTCTGACTGATTTCTGCTCACATCGACTTCTGCTTCATCTACACAGTCTTTCGGGGAATCGGCACGTAAGCACGGACCGGTCGATGGAAAAAGCGAGAAGATGATAGTGTGAAGAGGGTGGACATGGAAACCCGACGCTGAGTTCCTTTAATTGTGACCATAAGACACCATGGCCAAACAGTATGATGTGCTGTTTAAACTCCTGCTTCTCGGAGACTCCGGTGTTGGCAAAACCTGTTTATTATGCAGATTCACGGACAATGAATTTCATCCCTCTCACATTTCCACCATCGGTAAGAGTGTTACTTTAATGCATCCGTTCAAAGAGTTGCAGAACAAACCGCACATACCGATAAGAAAACCCATAGCAGCACTGGGCCATTATAGTCTATGAGCCGTGAAAAGAATGGCTTGAGAATTACAACACATGGTGAGATGCATTCACACAACCTCTTCTAGTTCTTTCTGAGATGCCTGACTGTATCTTTGTGTGAAGTCTTAAAATGTTGCATTTTTACACAACTGTCACAAACCCAGTAGTGTTTGTTTTAGATCGTTCTTAGAGATAATAAAATGCAGTAACCTAAATGAATATAAAATCATAGGTTGCATGAATGGCAGTGCACACAGAAGGGGCAGGTGTGTTATTGCATGCATTCTCACTAAAATATTGATGCATAAAAGTGTCCTGTCAGCCATTCCAACTCATACATGCTGTTCTATGCAAGTTCCACAATATTGATATGAAATTGAATCAGCTTTAACGAAATTGAAAGTTTTGGTCTCGGCTGTGAGATATGGAAAGATTTTTATTGCAATCTCTAAAACGGTTTTCTATAAAAGGACTATTTTATCACTGTACACTTTCAAGAATTCCCAGCATAGGGATCATTTTTATTTTGGCTTATTGGATGTTATGAAAAACAAAATTTGGTTCTAAAAAGGCTTTTCATAAACCTCTCATTTTGGTGTTCATATAGTGTGCGCGCTTGGTCTAGTGGGGCATTTTCCCAGTGGGCTGACATTATGTCCTGACAACAGCCAATTTACTCACTCGAGGAGGATGAACAGAGAGATTATTTTACAACAGTTTCCAGAAATATATAATTTTATATTTTTCATTTTCAATAAGCATAAGGACACTTAGTTATTTTTTAACTACAAACCCACTCTTAATACTTCACTTATACTTTATATTTTGTGATGCTTATCATGTATAAAGGTAAACTAGATGCTTCTTTATGTATAAAGGTCTTTTAAAAGGATAGTTTGCCTAAAAATGAAAAATAAATGGTCACTGTTTACTTGCCTTTCCAAACCTTTCTGCTGCTATGGAAACTGTAAAAGTAGCTATATCTAGCAAAATGTCTTAGCCGCTGTTTTCCATACAATGAACATGAATGATGGCTACAACTGTCCCTATGCAATTTCATTGTATGGAAACTAGCAGCTTGGACATTTTGCTAAATATCTAAGCTTGTGTTCCACAGAAGGAAGGAAGTCAAATGGGTTTGGAATGATATTAGGGTGAGTAAATAATGATTCAGTTGTTATTTTTGTGTGAACGGTGAAAACCATGTCATTCTGTAAAATCCTTTTTTTATGAACGAAAAATGTATGTTTTAAAAGATGTGAGGGTGAATAAATGCTGTCAAAATTCACATTTTGGCCAAACTATTTATTTAATGAAGCATTTGAAATGCTGAACTCATACCAAAAATTTTATCCCTCAATTAAATCACATGCTTCATTAGGTGTGGAGTGAATGTCAGGCTGTTATTTTGCAAAAGTTCAGGGTATGCTCTGTTGTGTAGCTCTTTCTGTTTTTCCAGGGGAGCGAATAATATCAAGTGGCTTACTCTTAAAATCAGGCATAAGATTCATAACACCCTCCTATTTTTCCTGATGATGATATCCCCCAAATCAATAAGGAATCAGAGGCCCTGACTCATTCCTGCAGCCTGCTGTCTGTCTCGCTACTGTTTATTTAATATGCTGGGATGGATCTCTTTTGGTTAAGTAGTGATGTGATACAGAACAATCTTTAACTGCAGGAGATAAAAGCTTTAGTCTGACTGGTCCTGAGAGATGGCCAGTGTCTTGCTCTAAAACATGGTTCAATAAGCTCTAGTCCGCAGGGCTATGACCCATATATATTATGATACTAGGCTGTCAAGGACCTTTGCGCTGTACTGAGACATTATTCACAGTGGAAGAGATATATGTGTGGTCTGCAAGTTAATTTGAAACATTAGCAAATGGTTCTTAGATGTTATCTATTTGCCTCGAGGCAACATGCTGTTATGCTAAATTATAGAAAGCAGCTGTTGATTGATTAGTTTGAGGATAACAAATTAAACGATATGAGCTTCATTTCTGTTTCATTGCTTTCTATAGTCAATTGTCTATGATGCTGTCAACACTAGAGAAATTGGACTTGTGTTTAAATTTGTATGTGCTAATCACCATAGCATATCTGTCTGTTGTCTTGTTAGAATTATTTACATTTCCAATTAGCCACTGTCTCAGAAGGAAAGTGTCAAAGTGATGATTCAATTGTTACAGCTCTGGCACATTATGACAAGTTTAATACTTATTACCGTCTGTCAAATGGCCATTCATTTAAAGGTCTGCTTTAATTGTCTTTATATTTTTGGGGCTCAGAAACATTACATTATCAGAGGTATAAAGTATTTCACTACAATGCTTTATTTTTGGGGAATCTATAATTTACTTGAGTTCTGTTAAATCCAAGTAATGGTACTTTTTTTCATCAGGGGATTTTTACACGACACCAACATCAACTAAAAACTTTATATATGTTTTGGCCTTTCATTTATACAACAACTGCATTTTGAGAGCTTGAATACAAATTTTGAAAACTGATTTCAAAGTGCAAGTTTTTGAAAACTATTCCATTATCATCTCAGTGAAAACTATAAAAACACAAATTCGTTTTCGTTTTCAGACTATAGATATGTGTGCATCTGGTGTTTCTTCACAAAGGAACATTGCCAACTACTGGCCTGGGATGCATAGTACAGCATCTTTAGTCGTTTTCGCTAGTCCTTGTGATTGGGGATCGTTTTGACAACATTGTCGTTTTCAAAAACCAAAAGGTAAAACATATCTGTTTTTAGTACATCATTGTCAAGTAAATCCTTAAGTTACATTTACAAAGTAAAGAAATGCTTTTTTTATGTATATATATGTTTTGGCCTTTCATTTATACAACAACTGCATTTTGAGAGCTTGAATACAAATTTTGAAAACTGATTTCAAAGTGCAAGTTTTTGAAAACTATTCCATTATCATCTCAGTGAAAACTATAAAAACACAAATTCGTTTTCGTTTTCAGACTATAGATATGTGTGCATCTGGTGTTTCTTCACAAAGGAACATTGCCAACTACTGGCCTGGGATGCATAGTACAGCATCTTTAGTCGTTTTCGCTAGTCCTTGTGATTGGGGATCGTTTTGACAACATTGTCGTTTTCAAAAACCAAAAGGTAAAAGATATCTGTTTTTAGTACATCATTGTCAAGTAAATCCTTAAGTTACATTTACAAAGTAAAGAAATGCTTTTTTATGTATTTTTATGCAGACTTAAAAGTACAACTTAAATAAAAGACAAGAGCGATTTAAAGGATTTCAAAATGTTCATTTTTGGGTGAACGATCTCTTTTAGACACAGACTTTGAACTATAGTAGCCTAATGCATTTTTTATGATAAACATTGCTTAGATGGATGAGTCAAGTGTGAACACTATTCAGTCTTGATTTTAGTCTAAAAATCACTATATTCTAATTAGTGGTCGACCGATATATCGGCTGATATTTGTCATTTTTCAAATATCTGCATTGGCCGATAAGTTTTTCCTGTTTGGCCGATGCGTTCGAGGCTGGACTTTTATTTTTACGGCTCTGAGAACGGCAGCGCCTGAGTACACAGTGCTCCCATTCTCCCTCTTGTTTGCTGTCGTCGTTAACAGTTCTGTCTAATACGGATAGAAGTCTGTCTAATAATCAGATAGAACGGTTAAACAAAGGAATTAAAATGTATACAAAAAAGTATTATAACGATTGCTTTTATAATATTAGTAATAGAAAAGCAACCATTATAATACTTTCTCATTTGCCTTCAGCATTCAGCAAATATGCATTTATATAATTTAAACAAATCTTTGAATGTCTAATGAGCATTTAATTTCACAAAGCTTGCAAGCTTAGTCGAATCTAGTTGAGATCTTGTGAAGTATGCCTTTGTATCCTGCATGATCGCGTATGCTCTACGTGTGACGGTCGGTCCGTGTGAATTGAATGCGGACAGAAGGAGAGTTCAGCCTCGCTGGAGACGCGCAATCGACAAACTTTAAACTCTTGATTTCAAATTATGCTGCGCTTTATCTATTTGCCCACTGTCATATTCATGTCATTTTCACTGTGTGCTATTTGTAAAATGACTGATACCTTGGCTTTATTTGAAAAAATATGATTCCCAATGCACACAAACTTCCCAGATTACTTTGTGCCCTGTTGGTTACAATGTTTACTTTTTATGAAATATTTATTTATTTTTGAAAAATACTTTGTCATCTAAAGTATAAGTATGTTTATTTTACACATTTATTTTTTAATCCATTTTCAAATGATTTCAAATTAATTATTTAAAATAAATAAAATTATATCGGCTTTATATCAGCCATCGGCCACCCTGCTTTCCAAGATATCGGCATCGGCTGTCAAAAAAACAATATCGGTTGACCACTAATTCTAATGTCAATCATCTACTGAAAATATTCAGGTAACAGGTTTCAGGATATTTGTTTATTTTAGCCTCTGCTTTATGACTTTGACATAGTCAGAACAATGAGAAAATAGTAATTTTTGACATGTTCCTTTTTTTGCATAAAAAAATACTAAAATTAGAAAATCTCTTAAAGGGGTGGTTGATTGCGATTTCACTTTTTTAACGTTAGTTAGTGTGTAATGTTGCTGTTTGAGCATAAACAATATCTGCAAAGATACGAAGCTGAAAGTTTAATGCAAATGGAGATATCCTCTTTTAAAATTCTGGCAGTTTAATGCCTACAAAAAACGGCTCGTAGGGACTACAACGAGTTACTTCCCGGGTTCGTGACATCACAAACCCAGATAAACCCCGCCCTCGGGAAAACGCAGCAAAGGGGGCGAGTCCATGCTGCGCTGCTTTAGAGAAGAGGAAGAGAAAACTAGGGGTGCACGTAAAAATCTATTAATATATGAATTGCGATTCTGTCTTCTAACGATTCTAATGGATTCACAAGTTTCAAAATCAATGTTCTAAAGCAGCGGTTCTCAATCCTGTTCCTCGGGTTCTCCTGCTCTCTCTCTCTCTCTTATTCAGATCATCAGCTCAGCTCCAATAATGAACTGTTCCAATTATACACTTATTTTCACATAGCTATGAGAAGCGTTAAACATGGATGCGCGTGTGGTTGCCATACTGTATTAAAGCTTTAATCAGGATAAAACCGCATTTTAAAAGCTAACATAAGCAGTAGCATTTACAAATAACAGCATATCTAAAAGTATGAGACAACAACACACAAAAAACATAGGCCTACCATTAAAAGCCGTGCTTGCACAGGTTCTGCACGATCTTCTTCAATAATATCCTCTGATAAGCGATATTAACGACGCCGTTGTTTACAATACAACCAGAGCACATGCTGCTGAGGTGAGGGGTGGGACGCTTAGGCACGCACTAGAGGCGGTTTAGCCAATCACAACACACTGGGCTAGCTAACCAATCAGAGCCCATCACCTATTTCTGAGGGTGGGGCTTCAAAAAAAACAGGAAAAGATCAGCCCGTTTCTCAGAGAAGGGACAGAGTGGTGTGGAATAAAGGTAAATTATGTGAATAATAATGTGTGTGTTTTTTTTTAAACAAAGCATTAACCCATGTTAGACTGCACCCCATAAACACAATCAAGCCTAGAAAAAAACAGTGAACCACCCCTTTAAAAACACAGAAAAGTGTTTAATTTTCCAACTTTTTATACTTTCAGCAAGTATATATAATGTAGTATCTGTACTGTTCTCAGTACTTTTTACACCCCTGCATAGTATTGATTCAAATAAAAGGGTTTTGGATGAAAGCTGGTTTATCAAATCAAGAAGCCATCAGAATATGGAGGAAATCTGACCTAAAAACTCTTAAAGGTGCACTCATTCCTTTTTTGGTTTATGTCACACTGGCTGAAATGGGATGTTGGCAATAGTTTTTGAATGATGATGATACTGTGGAAATGTGCTGTTCACAGTCAACCATGATTAATTTATTCTATGAGCTTAAGTTTCCAATAACAGGGGGTTACCAAGGTACAGTGAATAGCTTGTCATGTGATCCAACATGGCCACTCCAATAAAGGGACATACTTTATGTAAAACAAAACAGGTTTTAATAGGCTATTTAACTGGTTTCCAATTTCACTGGTGTTTTCATCTCATGTGAGTTCATCTCATTACTTGCATCACTTTATGAGAAGTTGGTTTGGTTTCTCTTTTATTTTGTAGTATTTCACAGCATTGTTGTTGTAGTCCTTTCACTGCTGAGATTCTGGAAGAGAGGATGGGAAGGGCAGCTCTTTCATTATTTTACTTTGCCCCATGACAACCAGTTCAGTGGCGGTAGTGATGACCTTTCTCGGGGCACTAACAGTGTTAGTCTAACACTACTGCCTTATTTAATGCAGTTTAATAAAGAGGAGGCTATAGAGCTCTGTGGATGGCATTCAACTGTATTCAAGATGATACTCGTGTCTTATTTTAGTATTTCTTGTGCTTGCATGTTCTTGTGCTTGGCATGCCATCTGCTTGCAGACACTGAATTGAATCCTTTGAAAAAAAATAGTTTGATATGAAGGCCTCTATACAAGCTGCCTAAGTTCTCTCTCTAACTAAGAAATTTGGTAATTAATATATGTTTTAATCACATTGCTGTCAGGGCATGTTAAAAATAAAAGAGACTCCCGACTATTGTTGTTTTGGAGTAATAATTGTTATTGAGAATGGAACTTCCTAAAAAAAAAAAAACTCTTCCGGGAGCTGGAATGTCTTGCAGTGGAGCTTATTGACAGATACCCATTTATTATTGCAGTTTTGCTGTGGCTTTATTTTCTTGCCTGCCTCGGGTTTAAAAGAGAGGTGTTTTCTTTCAGGGCTCAAGATCTCGTTATGGTTTCACACCTTACAAGAACATGTCATTCTTACTACGCAGTACACTTTCATGTTCACTTCATATGTATCTAAAGAAATTGCATAAAATATTAAACTCCGAATTCTTAATGAATTCTGGTGTTTTTTAAAATTAGGTGAACAGAGATCAAGTATTAACAATTAATTTGATTAATTCTGTGCTGTTTTGTGGTATTTATCTTACTCCTGTTTGATAAAATATAAAATATAAAAATATATATTTAAAAAACTACTTCAAATGGACATTTCCATGTAAACTATTTCCTTATTTCCAACCTTTTAGGTTCTGTTTTTGCCAGTGATACAATGAATACATTTTGCAAGTTCTTAAGCTTGACCTAAGCATATTTCTAGACAAAAAAATACCCTTTTATAGAAATATTTATTAAATTGCAACAAATGTCTCTCTGTTATTCGTCACCATTTTTGCTTCTTTCTTCTTATTCTTATTCTTTATTACTTCACTGCCTTTTTATGAGTCTGATTTGAACGGTTCAGTAAACGTCATGAGAGCACTGATTATACTGAAAGATTTAATTTAGATCTGGCTTAGAGCCTGAAGATGATTTAACAGCTGAGTTGTGTCAGTATTTTCAAATTATTGAAAATAATGAGTGAGTCACTCATTTAGTGAGTCACGCTAAACATCTTTTGATACTTTTTGCACTTATTGACATATTGTGCGGGATATGCCCCTGAGAAAGTGCAGAAGATACTTGTTGGGAACAAGTCTGATGAAGAACAGAAGAGACAAGTAGCTACAGAACAGGGAAATAAGGTAAATATAATAATAATATTTCCCTCCCGTGCACTGCATCTTTCATTCATTTTGCTACTTACTCCACATTTACTCTGTCATCTGACAAATCTTATTTCTAATGTCTGAGGTTAAAGACTTTCTTCAGACATCTTAATCTTCTTTTTTGCTCCAGCTTGCCGAGGCTTATGGAATGGATTTTTTTGAGACAAGTGCCTTTACCAACCACAACATTACAGAGGTGCAATTTTGTATTTTTTCTTCTTCTCATTATTTCTGTATTTAATGTTGTTTCTTCTTCAATATTTGAGGAATGGTGAAGCCATGCAACCATGTGATCCTTTTGGTCGCAAATTTTTATTATCTGCGGTTAATCGGGTGTTTATCTTTCCTTCATTACAGTCTTTCACCCGATTGGCTGAATTAGTCTTACAAGCCAATAAGAAGGATCTTGATTTGTTGGGAGGATCCATGAATGATGAGTTCAATCTGGCTGTTTTGGAGGAGCAGGAAGGATTGTGTAATGTTAGCGATGACACCCGCAAGTCCTGCTGGTGCTGAGGACAGGAAGTGACATGACTACTTTTTCAGTTGATTTCCATATTTTTGTTGCATTTACATTTTGAATATCACTTTGCAAAATTGACAGCAAATACTCTGTAAGTGCAACACGACAAGTCAACACTAGGAGGCAGTTTTGCAAAGTTGAAATCCGTGTACTGGAATGTAGTTAATAGTTATGCATGATAAAACACGCTGGCGGGGGAAAAACTGGGGACGAAGAATGTGTTTGCGGTTTTACGTAATGCTCAGAACTGGGAAATTATCCTGAAGTATTTTAATATTGAGGTCAGTTCATTTGCTCAATTTTATCAAGGTCTCGAATATTTTTTTTTTTTCTCAGAACAAGAATTTGTGCCTTGATGCTACTGATTATTAATGGTACTTTAAAAGTACTCTGAAACTAAATATTCTGCTTGTGCATTTTGTAGCAAAGCAGATCTCTCTTTCAAGGCCGTACACAGCTGGATGAAGTTTTGACGGAGAAAAAGCAAATAAGCAAATTTTATGGTACATGCTCATGTTTGCAGCTAGTTTGTAAGCAAGTGCAGTACACATAGATGGATACAACGATTAGGCCTACAGTGCAATTACACAATAAAATGTTACAGTGTTACTAAATGTTACAGTCTAACTACATCCCCTACAAACTCTTTCTTCTGTGGAAGACAAAAGAAGATATTTTGTAAAATGTTTAATGTATTGGTAAGACTTTACAATTAGGCTACTTCTAAAGCATTTATTAATCTTAGTTAAAGTTAATTTCATCATTTATAATATATCATTTAAATCAAAATGTTTTATATTGTTTAATGGACCTGAGCTAAGATGAACTAACCAAGTGTCCATACTATGAAAGTAACTTTAATTGCATGGGCCGAATATTGTGCTCTACAGAAGAAAGTAAGTCATGTAGGCTTGGAAATACAGGAGGTTGAATAAATAATGACAGAATTTTCATTTTTGAGTGAACTATATCTATGTGCAAAAGGCAATATTTTTTTATGATACCCCACACTCTCAAATGACAAACATTTATCTTCATTAATATTATTGGAATGCTCTAAGCATGTTTGGCTCACATGAACGCACAAATGATTCGTATTCTACTAAAAGGCTCTAATTCTACTAAAATTTGCCTAATTCTGTTGTTTGCCGTTTACCCAAATACTTAATTTAAATGTGCATTGTGTGTGTGGATGCATTTGTAAAGCTTGTTAGTAAATCTATGCAGGTGTCACAATGTGTTCTCTTGACGATGGCTCTAATATTATGTGTCATCTCTGAGAGAGTGTGGGCCAAGTGAAATAACTCCATCTAGTGCCGCTAATGAAATGTCTGAGCTAAATAATCTTGACTTTTTACATCTCACAAGGTCTCATCAACTGTCTAGTTGCATGAGGGAACTCAAGGCCCCCCACACATGATGAAGATGTTAAAAAATGAAGGGCTAACCTAGATAATGACGGTTATCGTGTAAGAGTCTAGAGATTACATGAGAACACATTTGACTCCCATTTTGAGCAGAACTTTAATCCAGCGACTGTCATTAGTCTCACTTTTGATTTAAACAAGATTGAATCTTTTTTCTTTATCCCCATTGTTAGCATTCTGAGGTTTGGATCCGGGATCAAGCTGATTTTGAAAGAAAGGGAGAGCTTTAAAAACAGCCCTTAGCTCCCTTCAGTTTTCCTTTCCTAGATAATCCTGTCATGCCATAACCAAATACTTCCATGTAATTGGCTCTCACCTATCCTCATTTAATCATTGATTTGCTCAGAACAAAAACTTGCCAGACATTGAGAGAAATAAACCAATACATCCTTAGGAGAGAGAGAGAAACAAGATGTGCTTTAGTATTATTTTTGGGGTGTGTGCGCATGCAGCGGGGGCGTTTGGTGAGGAGAGGGGGGGGGTCCAGCTTCAGGACACTTCTGCTAAGCACTGTGTTGTCGTCCTCCCACCTCGCCACACTGTGCTTTCACACCAGAGTGAGTCACGCTGGCTCTCTGAGCTTTGGAGGTGCGCAATGTGGAATGCTAAGCACCCTGAGAGAACTTCACAGCATTCAGACTCTTTCTACTCTGCCTTCTCATCCCTCCTTTATACCTGCTTGGAGATGTTGAAAAAGGCTGAGAGAAGCCTGCTTGATCTTTCTTTCCACATGCAGAACTAAATGTACATTTGGTGTTATCTTGGTTTACCTTACTGTTAGGCAGAAAATCTATCTATCTGTCTATCTATCTATCTATCTATCTATCTATCTATCTATCTATCTATCTATCTATCTATCTATCTATCTATCTATCGTCTATCTATCTATCTATCTATCTATCTATCTATCTGTCTATCTATCTGTCTGTCTGTCTGTCTGTCTGTCTAAACAATATATATAATGTGCAATATATTGTCAAAATATATAACAACATATTAAATATACATCTACCTATCAACAATTTATTCTTTATATTCATTTTTTGCCATATATATATATATATATATGTACAGTGGGTATGGAAAGTATTCAGACCCCCTTAAATTTTTCACTCTTACTTAGGACCATGTGATATTTCAGTTTTTCTTTTTTAATAAATCTGCAAAAATGTCAACAATTCTGTGTTTTTCTGTCAATATGGGGTGCTGTGTGTACATTAATGAGGAAAAAAAATTAACTTAAATAATTTTAGCAAATGGCTGCAATATAACAAAGAGTGAAAAATTTAAGGGGGTCTGAATACTTTCCGTACCCACTGTATATATAAATGTCTGGTTTGGTTCAGCTACCAAATCAGACATCAAGAGACTACAGTGGACAGTCAGCACTGTTGAGAGGATTATTGATGCCCCTCTGCACAGCCTCCAAGATCTTTACATCTCCAGAGTGAGGAAAAGGGCTAAGAAAATCACCTTGGACCCCCCCAATTATACATTGTCCATCACAACTGACATATTTATACACAGAATCCAAAATGTGTACACTTGTAAACTGCACACTTATAACATCTGTATCTGTACATTTATCTAAACAATTACATTTTTTCCCTATACTTCTATTTTTGTATATAGTACCTTATTTAATTTCAGTTTTTTTTCTTCTTATTTTAGTGTTATATTCCATCCCTACTGTGTTATTCCTATGCATGTCTGCACTATGTCTGTACTTTCTTCTGCACTGGAAGCTCCTATCGTCAAGTCAAGTCTTGTGCGTATAAACATACAGTACTTGGTAATAAAGCTCTTCTGATTCTGATATATCTATATCTATCTATATATATATATATATAT